GATAAGTTAGGTTAGATCAGGTTTAGATTGGGTTAGATAATGTTTAGATTTCGTTAGGTTAGGTGTAAATTAGGTTAGGTTAAGTCGCGTTTAGGTTAGGTTAGGTATGGATTAGGGTAGTTCAGGCTGTGTTTAGTTTAGAATAGTTAGGTTAGAATTGATAAGTTTGAAACGTTAAGTTAGAGTAAAATCGTTATTTTAGGCTAGGTATAGGATGGGTTAGGTTTGGTTTAGCTTGGGTTAGATATGGGTTAGATTATTTCAGGTTTACAAATGTTAAATTACGGTAAAATCGTTATTTTAGGTTAGGTTAGGTTAGATAAGTTGGGCTAGGTCAGGTTTAGGTTAGATTAGATATGCGTTAACTCAGTTTATGTTACATTTAGGTTAAAGTGATTAGCTTAGAATTGTAAGGTTAGAAATCGTTATTTTAGGTTGAGTAAATGTTGGTTTATGTTAAATTTAAGTTACGCTTAGGGTAGGATGGTTAGAATAGATTATCGTAAGGTTAGATTTAGTTAGAATCGTAAGGTTAGATTAGAATCGTTACTTTAGGTAGATAGGTTTTGAGTTAGGTTTGCGAAGATTTACGGTAGGTTAGGTTTGGATAGGTATAAGGAAACAAAAGACATCTAGCAGTATTCGTTTTAGGACTTTTGGAAAATACACTCTGGGTATGAGGTTAGATATAAGGAAACACTAAACATTTAGAAATTGGATTTTTAATTCTTCGGAAATGAATTTTGTATAGGGTCGTCATAAACATAAACATAAACTTTATTTTTTTTTAGTTTATAGAGTGGGTTATCTGTAATTTAACGAGACATACTCACCCAAAAGACACGATCAGTAATTACATGTTATCATTCTAGACTATTTTCCAATCAACTTGATCATTGATGATAATTTTATAATCGGACACTGTTTTTTTATGATGACTACATTATACACTTTCTGCTTATGTTTCTTTCTCCCCCCCAAAAAAGAAAAGAAAGTGTTAACCAAATATTATTGATAATAAGTATTAAGCCACCTAACCTACCCTACCCTAAGCTAACAATTAAAACCTAATCTAACCATACCTAAGCAAACCTAACTTATTTTAATTATATCTTCTGACGAAGACATAATCGAAACCAGTCAAATACATCTCTTGTATTGTGAAGATATTCATTCTCATTCATATCATTTCTACATTAATCTAATAAATATAATCTAACCAGACCCAACCTAATTTACCATAACATAATCTAAGCGAACCTTAACTTAAACAAAACTAAAACAGGACATGGCATAACCTAAACCAAACTATAAAATATAAACTAACCTAAACTAGCAATCCTAACCTAAACTAATGCAATAAACCTAACCAAGCCGAAATCTAACAGAACCTAACCCAATTTAATGTAACTTATCCAACCTCTCCGACCTACCCTAACCCAACCGGATATAAGCCTAATTTTTTTTTTCCGTTTAATTAATAAAAGAAAACATTTCATGCATTATTTTATATGGAATGCATGAATTTCCTTCTCATTATAAGAAATAGAAGCCATTTTTTCCCACATTAATTGCCATATTGAGGAGGCGGAGGAGCCGCTTTCTCGAATGCCATGACCAGTAGTGGTCTGTTCAGTAATAACATACGTGAGTTTACCAGAACAAAACAATCATGGAGAATTAAATACAGGGCATAACGCATAAAAGTTTATTATTCTCGAAAGAACTCTGTCAAAAATGTTATCCATAGCATAATTCAGAAGATTCTATACAACATGGGATAATTCTTTCCCAATAGCATCAAGAGGTTTGTTCCTTTTAGATGAAATATAATGGTATTTGATACCGTCACGTGTTCCCCAAGTAATGTCTTTTGGTTAATATGTGTTGCACTAGATCATACGGCTTATCCTTTGTGCTTATCCTCTCTAACGGCTCGATAGACTAGTTATTATAGATTTTACAACTGTAGCATATCACACAACAGTATGGCTCCTCCTTTCTATGTAATATCATATAGTTCACTAGGCTATTTTCAAGTGAGGCTTTATTGTAAATGTTACAGCAGTAAGGTTACTCTCTGTATTGCAATATCACGTACTCTTATATGTCTAACTAGATCATCTCTTCGTGAAAAGCCTTGTTGCAAATTTCATACATTAAAGACTTCTCCTTTCTATGTACTCTCATGTGCTCTACTGGAATACCTTTCTGAGGGAAGGCCTTGCTGCAAATCCCACAGCTGAATGGCTTCTCCTTTGTATGTATTCTCATGTGCTGTACTAGATGACCTTTCCGAGATAAGGCCTTGCTGCAAATGGTTAATGGTTAATGGTTAAAAGCAAGATAAATGTGCTAGACATCTAAGGTCATGTAGCACTATAGTTAATGTTAGTGAAGGGTGGTTGAGTTAGTGATTAGTTGTCTAAGCTGGGCAAAGGAATTAGTGAGTGAAAGGGTTAAGGTCGGGTGTTATATTAGATAAAGGGTATGCATAAGAAAGGTTTCTTGAAGGCATACAATAGATGGGTTATAAGAGGAAAGGATATGATGGTCAGGTCTGTGGGAGCGGAAACCGCGAATATTCCAATGAAGGATAGTTATACTTTCGTTGATTTAGTGATATAGATTGTAGTATGTGTTGGAGAATTTGAAGGGGAAGCAGCTAGAGGGTGGGATAAGGACTGAGAGGTTTGAGATGGGAGAGGTGTGGGAGTTGGTGTTCTATCAGGAGGGGTATTAGGAGATGGAGGGTCTGAGGAAGGGGATACTTGTGACATAAGGGATTCACGTGTGTATCCAGGAGGGAGTGGAAGGGATAGAGGGGATGGTGGGAGAGTTAATGTGGGCGGGGTTGGGGTCAGGGGGGATGGGCTGTGTTGGGAGGGGGTAGGAGGGTAGGGTGTAGGGGGGATATCGTTAGAAGGAGGATGGATATCAGCAATTACTTGGAGTGTGGAAGGAGCAGGAGTTGTAGGTTGAGTGTCAGTTTTCATTAAGCAATCTTGAATATTTTCAATAGTTTCTACTGTGGAGTTGGTTGGGGAGTTTTGGGGGATAAAGGATTTCTTGTGAGGGGGGGAAGAGAGGACTGGTGTCTCAAGAGTACGGGCAAAGGATGGTGGGGGTGATTGTGTGGTAGGGGAAGAGGGGGTGGAACGTTTGTTCTGTCTGTTACGGGGAGTGCGAGGAGGGAGAGGGGAAGGTGTTGGGGTTGTAGTGGTGATTGGAGTATCTGTAGTAGAGATTGGAGTTTCTGGATTTAGGATGGCAAAAGAGTTTGACTGGGGAAGGTAGGTGGGGTTAGTGGGGGGGTTAGATGTAGGAGGGGTGGGTTTAGGAGAAGTGTTAGAATGAGCAGTATTACTGGAGTAAGGAGTAAGAGAGAATCCACGTCGACGTGCTTCCTATCTGGCTTCACGCAGTGTGAGTCCGAGTTTGAATCTGAGAGTTGCTACCTCAGATTCAAATTTGTAGGTGGGACAGCCCCTATAAAATACATTATGGGGGCCGCCACAGTTGGCACATGTGCGTGATTGTGCAGAGCAGTTAGATCGGGTATGGCCAGGTTGGGCACATAATGGGCATCTGGCTGTGGAACGGCAGTGTTTGGCTGGGTGTCCTAGACGCCAACAATTTTGGCACTGACGTGGAGGAGGTTGGTATGGACGAACAGGGAGGGATTCTCCTCCTATGTAGACGTTAAAGGGAAGGTCATGTCTACGGAAGGTAATTTTGGCTATGTTAGTGGGTTTCTTTCGATGACCTCTGGGGGGGATGGAATAGCATTGTACTGATGTTGCATCGTAGTCTGTGAGACAGGCAAGTAGATCTCCACAATCTGACCAATCTTCGTCATAGATTGGGCAATTTGTTGGTGAGATTGAGACTGTTCCGGTGCAAGTATTGAGGGTTGGATGGGGTTCTGCTAGGATGGGGTTACCATATAGGTCAGTTAGTTTTGTTAATGCTATGGCTTGGTTTTCGGATGTTACTGTTACAAGACGGGAGCGGTCGGGTCGGCTACGGAAAGAGACTTTACCTACTTGTTTTTGGAGGCATTGTTGGAAGAGAAGGGTGTTGTCAGAGTAGGGAGCTGTGGGAGGGATCACGAAAAATCGGTCCCATTTGGCTGCACTGAAGAGAGTATTCAAGATTGTTTTAGAGATAGGGGTGGTAGAAGGGCGAGGGCGTGACGAAGATGGAGTAGTGTTGATGGAGGTAGTGTTATGGAGAGGTGGGCTATAAGGCTGTAAGGTATTAATAAGGGAGGATGGGGTGGTTGATGTTGGAGGTTGTGGGGGTAGAGGTGTTGAAGTTGGGCATGCTGGGAGAGTGGAAATGTTCTTTGAGGGTTGATTGTTGGCTACTATACTAGTAGGCATTGGTGAAGGGGCAGTTATTGCAGTGTTCGGAGCCGTGGTCAAAGGAGAGCCTGGGGTCGGGGAATCGGGTGGGTTTACTTCTTTGGGGCTATTTGATAAAGGGGCAAGCCTCAGTGCCCCTAACAGTGGGGATATATTTTCATTACTGGCCATGGTAAGCCTGGTTATGTTGGGGATAAAAACAGTCCACCCCTCAGGGTCCCCTTGAGGGGTAAGGGCTAGATAACTAAATCAGGGGAATACCGTGCCCATGGCTCCCTCAGGCCGTTCAGGACTGGCACAAAGTCAGCCTTTCATCCTTTCAGCACGGCTCTCACACCTTAGGAGGTGGATAGCAGAAGGGTTTGGTGAAGGGACAGAAACAAAAGTGGGAAGGGAAAAAAAGACCATGCATAATTAGTTGAGTCGAGGGCTGAGTCCCAAGGTTGGGGAGTTGCCCATCATTGGGTCGCAGTCTCCGCCTCCTAAGCCCCCCCCACGACAACAACGGGCAAGGAATTGGGGGGGGGGGGGCTTGCTGCAAATCTCACAGCTGAATGGCTTCTCCTTTGTATGTACTCTCGTGTGCTTTACTAGATCACCTTTCTGAGAGAAGGCCTTGCTGCAAGTCTCACAGCTGAATGGCTTCTCCTTTGTATGTACTTTCATGTGCTATATTAGATGACCTTTCTGAGAGAAGGCCTTACTGCAAGTCTTACAGCTGAATCGCTTCTCCTTTGTATGTACTCTCATTTGCTTTACTAGATGACCTTTCTCAGAGAAGGCCTTGCTGCAAATCTCACAGCTGAATGGTTTCTCATTTGTATGTACTCTCATGTGCCTTACTAGATCTCCTTTCTGAGAGAAGGCCTTGCTGCAGATCTCACAGCTGAATGGTTTCTCATTTGTATGTACCCTCATATGCCTTACTAGATCACCTTTCTGAGAGAAGGCCTTGTTGCAAATCTCACAGCTGAATGGCTTCTCCTTTGTATGTACTCTCATATGCTCTACTAGAGTACCCTTCAGAGAGAAGGCCTTGCTGCAAATCTCACAGCTGAATGGTTTCTCATTTGTATGTACTCTCATGTGCCTTACTAGATCTCCTTTCTGAGAGAAGGTCTTGCTGCAAATCTCACA